TGGAGTCTGAGTAAATACTCTGTTGTCCCCATTTTATAGATGAGGAAATTGAGGTTCAAAGCAACTGTATGATTTGCTTTGGGTTGCACAACTTGCTCCTTTCAGCCAGCTCTCTCCTACCATGCCCACCAGAGCTGCTCCCGATTCAAAGTTAGCATGCATTAAAAGGAGCATAGTGCCTATGGCAAAGGAGGTGACAGTATACAGAGGTCTGCTGCTCAACAATAAGTTTGCCACTTGGCCTCAGCAAAGCTGCCTACTTCAGGGCATGAAAGGGACAACAATCAACACAGGAAACAAGATTGCAAATTACATGAGGGTTGAAACTTAAGATCAGGAGGTGAATCTCACCTGGTAGCAAAAGAATACTGTTCCATTTAAATCAGAACTTCTGAGTCTGTGGTACAGTCAAACATTGTTTGGTTGAAGAGTTCAAACTTGACAGTGAAGAGAGAGTGGGTGTTTTCATTCATTTCAGCTCTTTAAGAAATCAACAAATGAAAAATGAAATAAAAAGAAATCAACAAATCAATACCTAAAGATGGGAAATGACATAAATGTCTATTCATAGAGAGCTGGTTAAACAAAGGGGGGCTGTAAATAGAACTAGTAAGTTTTTTGTGTATTGGTGTGGAAAGACTTTCCACAAGGAAGTTAGGTCTACATACATGCATATAAATATAAAGCTTTTTATATATAAGGGAAGAAAAAAGCCACAGCTTTTAGGTCTGTATCAGCATACAATTATCTGGAAATTTGAAAAAGAAACCATGGATGGTGGTTATTTCTTAGAATCAATGAGAGAGACAGAGAGAGAGAGAGAGAGAGAGAGAGAGAGAGAGAGAGAGAGAGAGAGAGAGAGAGGCTGTTCACTGCTGACCTTTTAATATTTTGGTTTGACCCAAGTGAGTCACTCTTTAGTTGAAAACTAAAAAAAAAATACTTTCTTAAATCTAGATGTCACATTTCATAAAGTTGCCCCCCAGTACTTGGGTCTGATAGTGTCACATTTTTGAAAAACTTGAAAATTTTCATAAACCAATTTATATGGGAACTTACCATTTTTCAAAGTAGTTTTGCATAAATTGACATATTCTTCTTAAGCCTGTATAGAACAGAAGTTTGCTCTCATTTTTCTGAGGAGGAAACACACTCAGCTAGGTCAGTGGTCTCGTCCAAGGTCACCTGATCTACAAGCAAAGGAACCAGAACTGGAGCCCTGGCACCTACTAACAGAAATGGGCATACAATTGGAAACAAAGCCCACACCTTCACCTCTCAGGCACCTGTCACTGTAAAGTCTGCATCATACTGACCCCTCAGTGGTTTGAGCATTAACAGAGCTAATGGCGTAAAACTCCTAGCACTGTGCATAACACAGAGTAAACAATCAAAAACTTTTTCAAACTACTGAAGTGTTTCCTTTAAACAGCAGAACAAGATGTTCCAATTTCACTGATGCTTTTTAAGCACCTTTTATATCTACCATATAAACTAACACTGTCTGAAGAAGCATCAAAGAATTGAAGGAAGTGTAGGAAACAATCTTTGCCCTAATGATGCTTCTGGTCTTATTGATGAGACAAAGTTTAAGTAGGTTCACACACCTTTTCTGGGATTATAGTTTATTATCATCGGTATTCAGTTAATTTTCCTGTGCTGAACCTCACTGTGAAATTAAACTGCATATGAGTTGTTTATCCAATTTTATGTGCAAATTAAAATGACAATTGACAAAGCTAACAATGAAATGGAAAAATTTTTTTTAGAATATTTGATGCCATTTTATTTATTTTTAATTGAGGTTACATTGGTTTATAGCACTGTATATGATTCAGAGGTATAGAATCAGATGTATGTTACCCCACTATGCCTACCCCCAAGGCACCCATAGCACTCCACCATAGTCCACTGAGCATCCCCTACACTTGGCTTTCCAGCCCTGATGCCATTTAAATAATACTGGGCTCAACATTTTTTTAAAGATTTATTTGTGCATACAAGAACTGAGGTACAGGCCAGAGGTGTGGGGTGTGAGAGGTTTCACCAGAGACAGAGTGGGGAGCAGAACAGGCAGATGTACTGAAATACGCTGCTGAGCAGAGCAGCGGGTAAGACAGGAGAGGTCTGCTGCACCATGTGGTCACCTTATGAGCTGGGGATTGAACTTGTGCTGCAGTGGCTGTGGATAAATTCCTCCATTATAGAATGAACATAAGAACATCATCCCTCCATAAAACAGTACCAGTAAAACAAAAATTTTAATCTCCTTGCATTATCATGGCTTTCCTACATTTTAATCAGCTTTTTACTTTTCCTTTGGCTTTACACTAGTGATTCAGCATGGGCCCTATATTGGAATAGAAAATTCACCAGCAGCACCTTCTGGTTCATACACCATGGAGAAGAATGTCTAAGATACACGAATGCTATTGACCCCAAAAAAAGAGAAAGAGAGGGCCTCCCTGGTGGCGTAGGGGTTAAGTCTCATGCTATCACAGCTGTGGCCTGAGTTCAATCCCCAGCCAGGAAGTTGATCCACATATGGAGCAATAAATCTGCCTGTTCTGTGTCTCTGTTGAATCTTTTCACACACACCCCGCCTGGGCCTACACCCCAGTTCTTCAATGCATAAATAAAATAAATCTTTATTAAAAAAAAAAAGAAAAGAGAAAGGGGATTGATGTGAGAGTAGCAGTTACTGAAGGGTTTTGATTTGCTTTGATTGGGGATAAAAATGTAAGAAATGAAGACTGGAAATGAAAACAACTACCTCATTGACCTAGATGCTGGAGCAAGAGGACAAGGAAGTTGTCATATGGATAATGGTTCATGACATTTCCCAGAAGGTTGATCTAAGTATGTACCCCATGTGGGGAGTGGTTCTAGTCAATGTCATATGTATGTGCACACACACACCGATATTCAACACCAGACATACTGATGGGGGAGAGAGTAGCCTCATACAGTGATGTATGGTGGACAGCTACAAAGCAATCAGAGGTTCCTAAATCAACACATAGTATTTAGAGATGATGATCAACAGAAAACCAGTTGCAGTCATGCACCTATGCAAGAGATGTTGTTCTTTGACACAAAGGTCCTGAGCATTGTTGAGGGTGAAAACAGAAGAGCAACAGAAATCCCTAAAGCACTGTTGGAGGAGGACAGCACAGGGGCGCCAAGAGAATTTAGGGCAATTAGAGTGATTAGATCCACCAAGTTAACGCAGCAGGGGTAAGTTCAGGCTCTAAGAAGTCATTTCCACCAGGCATTTCCATGTGAGAAGACATGAACAAAGAAATGCAGCTCCTTTTCAACTATCACAGATGTGATGATTCACTGAGTGCCCTACCTAACCCAGAGTGGAAGGGTTGTGTCAGTTCACTAGGGCTACCATAAGAAAGTACCACATTAGGTGGCATACACAACAGAAATTTATTTTCTCATAGTCTGGAGGCTCTAAGTCCAAGATCAAGGTCATGGCAGGACTGGTTCCCTCCTTGGCTTCTGGGCTTATAGATGGCTGTCTTCTCCTTCTTACTTCACACCCTCTCCCCTCTGTTTCTGTATCCAAATGTCCTCTCCTTATAAGTACACCATTAATTCTTACGGTTAGGACCCACCCCAGTGAATTTATTTTAACTCAGTTACTTCATTATAAACTCTTTAAATAAGGTTACATTCTGAAGAGCTGTGTGTCAGGACTTCAACATATTAATTCAGTTTGTAATAGTGGAGAAAACCAAAAGGTGGTCCAGTATCTTCCTATTTTACATGTCTTCCCCATTTCTCTTTGAGATAAATGTCTTTAGGGAATTGGGACTTTATACCTTTGTGCCAGTGAAGGGAGATGGGACCTTGGCTGTGACTTGTATTTCTGGTTAACTCCTCTTCCACTCTTTCGCTATTTTTTTTTTTTTTTCAAGAAACCAGGTTATTTATCCTGCAAATGTTCTCAAATTTTGGATCTGGCTAACTGGATCCTCTTGTTATTGTTGAGGTACAGAAAAAATCATTCTGTACCCCTCTGGGATCTTCCTGGTTGGATGAGTAATCAAAACACCATCAGATGAGTTAGCAAAGGAACACAATCAATTTAATAACATATATATGGAGAATTTACCTGGATGTAACTTCTAAATAATGGAGTGGGCCAGGAATATTTATCCTGCCTTTTGGGACCTGGGACATCAGAGACAGAGAGGGGGCACACTTCAAAGGACAGATAAGGAGGGAATGACCTCAACCTTACTCTGAGAGAAAAGATGAAATGCTTAGATAGAGAGGAGTTGTTAACTGATAAACCTGGAACTGGATGAAGCCCCCAAACTACATTCTTTTAGATCATAAATGGAAGAGCAGTGATCCCGTCTTTGATTAGCAAAAAGACAGAAGCTTAGGGTGTGCAATTTCTTCTTTGATTAGGGAAGAGTGAAGGGCTTAAGCAAGAACACATGCTTCTAGCCTTCAGCACCCGCATATTCTCAACACAAAACAATGTGCATTCTTTAAGTAGTGGTAATAGACCCCCCCCCAGGCTCATGGGGCCTTGATTGACCTCTAGTTCCCATGCCAAGGGAAAAAGAGGTCTACTCTGTGCATATTGAGAAAATCCTACCTGATCCTTTTGTCATTTAACATGCTGACCTATACCCTGTATTTCCTGAAAACTGGTAGTTAATCTGAGGTTTGATCAGATTCAGATTCTTTTTTTGGGTAGGAATTCACAGGTAATGGTATGTACCTCCTTTGTACCACATCAGCAAGATATAATGTCTAGTCCTCTCTCTTTTTTCTGATGTTAATATTAGTTAGTAGATCCAAGCATTAGGAGACCTCTAGTGAGCACCCTAGCATCCACTGGTGATCACCGCCCCAACCTAGCAAGTGGAAACAGTGCAAGGCACAAGTACAGTTTAAAAATTTAAAATACCCACATTCAAATAGTAATCAGAAACAAATGAAACTAATTTAGTAATATATTTTATTTAGCCCATTGTATCCAAAATATTATCATTTCAACATGTAACCAATGAAAAAGCAATGAGATATTTTACAACTTTTTTTTTGTGCCAAGTCTTTGAAATTGGTGTATATTTTACTCTTGCAACACATCTCAGTTCAGACAAACGACATTTCAAGTACTGAATAGCTTCTCATGATGTGATTATAAATACTATTTAAGATTTCTTTATAATTCTCATTGTCTTTAGAATAGACAATAAATTGTTGTCTCAGCAATTTATACTGAGGCAATTACTAATACCAGGGGGAAAAAAAGTTAGGTAAGAAAGAAATCTTACCTGCCCTATACAATTATACAATTGCTGTGTTGTTGCAAACTATTGGGTTGTCAGAAAAGTTATGGCACATTTTTACTTGAAAAACAGAAAAAATACATCATGACTTTTCTGACAGCCCAGTAATTTCAAAATCATAAAAGTGTAAACACTGAATAAACCAAAATTGTGATGGGAGTTGAGGATAGAGAACCAAATCCTCATCCTTCATAGCAGGGAATCAGTAATGTCTAAAATGGAAATACTTATTTCAAAGTCTGAATTTGATACTGCCATGGAACAATTTTCTTTGTCTCCAGTGGAGGTTATATTTCCAACCCATTTCTATTATGTGAATTTAACATTTCCTCTTCTTCTCTTCCTCTGCCTCTGCCCTCCGCCCCCCACGCCGCCCCCCTCCAGAGTCCAGCTTCTCTATGAGGAGGAAGGGGAATCGGGAAAGTCTTTTTTACTTAACAGGATTGTGATTTAAATGCTGTTTGGGTCTCCCTCTTTCTTTGCAGATGGTGATGAGATTTGGATCATGTGATCCCAGCAAAGGATCCCATCTGGGCACAAAATGTGAGTTCTCTCCCAAGAGAGATGAACCTAGGGCAGGGATAGAGATCTGCAAGACTTCACTGGGATTTTGAAATGATCCTTGAAGGAGGTGGAAACATTTACCAGGTGAGCAAGGTAGGGGCAGAGGCCCTGCTGCAGGGGATGGGGTGAGGGGGGGCAGCAGGAGAGGGGAGGCAGAAGCAGGAAACTCAGGCCAAGGCAAGATGTCCAGCATGGCTCCTGCAGATGTCCAGGAGGCTGTGCAGATGCTGACTTTTCTGGAAGCCCAAGAGGGGGTAATTTCCTAATCTACTTAATAATAGGCAAACACTCTGGCGTCAGCTTGGCTCAGCAATGGTCTTGGAACAAAAGGACCCAATTAAAAGGCCATCATAAAGGAATTTAGGGGAAAATGAAAAAGTCATTGAGCCAATCAAGGCCCAGATGCCCTGGGCCTGGTTTGTGACCCGAAGCAACAGAATCCTTCCTCCTACTCTGCCCTCTCCTCTCCCAGACACTGCCCTAGATCTGGGGATCTTCCACCATCCCTCATGCCATTCTCCCGTCCTCTGCCCCACCCACTGCCCATCGATGTGGCACCTCATTGACATTCTCTGGATCTCAGTTTCCCTGCCTGCAAAACCTTTCAGGGAAAAAAAAAAAAACTATTAGGAATCTTGTTGGTTCTTCCTTCAAAATACATCTGCCATTGCCATTTCTCTCCACCCCCACTGCTTCCCCAGGTCCTAGGTACAACGATCTCTCCCCTGAATTCCTCTGCAGTGCCTTCATGCTCTGGATGCCCCATTCTTGCCTCATTCTTGTTTATTCACAAAACAGCAGTCAGGTAGATCTTTCTAAAACCTAAGTCAGATTGTATCTCGACCACGGCTCTCCACTGTACTCAGTGTCCTGCGGGAACCCTCCTGTCTCCATGCCAGCCGCAGGCCTCCTCCTGCCCTGGCAGCCAGACCTGTGTGATGACTCTTCCCTCTGGAAGGCTACCGCACCAGGTAGCCACTCAGCTAACTCCCACTCCTTCAAGTCTGTTCAAATGCCCTCTTTTCTGCCTTTCCTGAGGCTTCATCTGACCACCCTATTGAGAATCAGTCAACCTCCCAGCCCTGCCAGTCTCTCTTCCTGTTGTTGTTCCCCCCATAGTTCTTGCCACCTTCTACTACAAAACAAACAAACAAACAAACAAACAATCCACCTTTTTTTTAAATTCTGATGCTTTTTGTCTCTCATCCCACCAGAAGGCAAGTTCCACAAGGGAAGGGTTTTTTATTTTTATTTTTTAATTCACTGGTGATTTCCAAGAACCTGGAGCTGTACTTACTTACTGGACACTTGGTAAATATTTGTTGACTAAATCAATGAATGAATCAGTAATGACAAGGGTTTTTGCCTCCAAGGGCCATAGTGAAACTTATGGGAAATCATGAATTTGACTTTCATTACAAAGAAAAGAACTAACATATTGAGTTCCCATTGGCAGTAAGTATTCTGTAAAGCAGTTTACATAGTTTATCTCGTTTACTCCTCATTCATTGATTTATTCAACAAGCAGTTGTTGTGTACCAACTTGGGGCTGGCACTGTTCTGGGCACAGGGGGTAAAGGTATGATCCAGACATACAAAGACCCCTGTCCTCTGGGAGTTGTCATTCTAGCAGAAGGCGACAGTACATAGAAAAAAATACAAAAAGGGTTATGATTATTCCTTTTTTTATGATGAGGAAACATTTACCAAGGTCCCCTGGTGCATGAGTGACTGTCCTCTCCAGGCATATGCACTTCTATGCCTCCAGGTTTAGGTGGAGTAAAGGTTGTGCTAGATTGTGTGAAGACGTGGGGGTGGGGTCTAGAGGATTGGCTGAGGCTGCACCCCAAGTGCCCAGGACGTGGATCTGCCCTTCCACCTGACTGAGAGCCCTACCGGTGGTGGGATCCATGTCACAGGTATCTCCTGAGAGGTGGGTGAGCCCTAACTGCTGCCCAGATACAGTCACGGTGGGTGCTGAACTTGGACCAGCTGAGCTGGGTCATACCTCTCAAGGGATGGAGTCCAGTTCTGGAGTCAGCTGTGTGAGATGGCAAGGATTTCTAGGAGCAGAGAGGGGAGGACAGGGCCTTTGGGGGACACTGGAGTGGGGCAGAATAGGGAGCTGGGGCTGTTGGCTTGGAGGAGGTGACTGTCATACCCTCCATGGCTGCCCTGGGCTGAGGGGTAGATATACTGTGTGTCCCTAATGGCCATATGGGGCAGGAGGGCTTCTGTGAGCAGTGCCCTCCCACTGGGAAAGGAGTTGCCTGGGAGGAAGTGATCGCTCCATCCTTGGAGGTGGGGAAGAGAGTACAAGCCATGTCAAGGCATTAATGAGGCAGAGAGGGGACCCTTGTTAGGGGTGGATGGACTTTTTCAGAGGTGTCACTTCCAGAGAGGAAGATTCTGGTTTTCCTTCAGAAGAGCTCTCAGACTAGAGTTCGAGACTAGGCCTGAAATCGAGTCTTAGTTATGCAAATCCATTGGGAGGAACTCTCCAGCCCCTCTCCCTAACATTCATCCAGTGGATTAACTCCAGAGCCCACAACCTTACCAGCACCCTACCCCAACTCCCTTCTTTGGAGGCCCCTTCTCCCATAAGAAGTCTTTGTTGAGTTGGTCAAAATCAGCCCACAGGAGTGTTTTTGGTGGGAATGAATGACAGGCATAGACAAGAGGGTGTTGCCTCTTTCTGGGTGAAAAAGGAGTGAGAAAGTGACCTTTCAACTCTCCATTCCAGCGTGTGCCCCTGTGGCTCCAGGAGCTGCCTCACTCAGAGCCCTGCAGCCCTGGGTGGCCTTTGGCAGAGATTGTTCAGAATTGCAAAGCAGAGGCTTGATGAAACAGGCAGCGATCCTATGTTGAGAACACAAGAGTATTTGCAGAGCATTACTATTTGCTAAGTTTGTGGTCTTGGAACCTGTAGCTCTAAATACACAGGTGTGAGCTTAGTCTGACCAAGCTAATGACCTCATGGCTTGGTCAGAGACTGTTAACTGTTTTGCAAGTCAGGGTATGTATTGCAAATTGTGTTCCCTGTTTCAAGTCACCGTTTTACTCCTAACTCCCACCCTCCCATGACCCTGCTTCTTGCAGGATCATTTTCTTATCACTCCACAGGCAAATATCTGGACCCCAGCTCCATTACTGCAACTGCCAGCTCTTCCCAGTAGGGGGCAGCAGGACAGTGTTAATGAACCTGCCACCCACAGTGGACCAAGCACAGCCAGGGAGACAGGGACATTGCTGAGCTATTGCTCAAGGATGAAGGACTGGGTCTGAAATGCCAAGTCTTCTCCCCTCTGCTCCTGTGAATTCTGGGAACAGGGAACAAAAAGGGGGAGCAAAGTGGGAGGGGAAAGGGAGCTGAGGGAAAGAGAGAGGGGCACGAGGAAAGAAAGGGGAGCCACAGAGCTGACAGACCATCGCCTCCTGCCATCCCTAAGTCTACTTCCAACTCCTGGTTTTAGTTTAATCTCCTGGCAACCCCTCTGATCCCTCTGCTCCTACAGCCTGGGCACCTGTGTCCTTTCTTCCTGACCTCCCCTCACATTCTCCCTGGAACACAGATGTCACCACTTAACACACATGCACACGTACTCACGTGCTAGCACACGCTGCGTGACCACCCATGTTGCAGGCTTTTCTTTTCTTCCCCTACATTTTGCAGTTGGTCACAAAGGCTGGTCTAACAACTTAATCCCATGATGTGGTAGGGTTTTCCATGTGGCTCATGTGGCTGCTGATTTGGAATTTGGCTCGAGGACCTAAATCTGAGGACACACAGGAATAAAATAGACCACTTTCTAAAGAAACCTGCAAACAACTGGGGTCAGACTCTTTCTCAGACTTTATTACCCCTTGACTCTCACTCTGACTCTCTGCAAGTTCAACCCTGTGGACTTAAAGATGTCTCTGCAGTTGTGAGTTCTCAGCCTCATGTGTGTGGGTGCCGGGGTAGAGGAAAGGACAGGGGCTTTTTCCCTTCCAGCGAGGTGACAAGTGCTCTAGGAAAATCCATCAGAGAGGCTTTCCTCCCAGCATGTGACACACTCAAATTAGGTAACTTTGAGATGATTTAATGAAAGACTCTTTCACAAAGTCGTGGGCTGGTGTTCAGAGGGCTCTGCGCTGAGGGGCACTGGTGGCCAGATTGTCTTGGCCAGAGAAACAAGGGCAGCAAGAGAGGGCTATGGCGATACTGGGAGGACATACTGTCCCTTTCCTCCCCACCTTGCCCAACACCCAGAGGAGAGGCCCACGGGTGGGGTGCAGAGGGTCCTCCTAGCTCTGGGAAGGGGAGTGAGCAGTATATTAAGTAGGGGGTTGGCATTTAAAACTGGAGTAAACTTTGTTTCCCAAAAGTGACTCAAAATGTTGGAGTTTGCCAAATACGCAGTTTTGGATCAGTAAGGGGAACTAAACAGTGCTGAGTAGGGCGCGCCGATGGGAGGGAAAGAGAACACTTGCATGTTCGAGTGTTACTGCATTCTCCCTGCTCAGTAAACCAGGGAAAGAGGTGTTTGCAGATGAGGAAATTGGGTTTGCCGTCAGAGCTGATGTTGGCTGAAGCTCCTGCCTCAGCTCCCCTGTGTCACCCAAACGCCTCCTTTCCCCTGAGCTGCTACTTGATAACTCTGAGTTTAGTGAAGCTTAAAGCCCCAGTTGGTGAAAATAGGACTGAAGAGGGAGAACAGGCTTTCAGTTCAAGCCCTTGCTCTGAGCTCCCTGCTCCAAGGTCAAAACCCAAGCAACACCCCCTCTCACCCATGTTACTCAGGCTTCTTCCCGGGATGCCCGCCCTGGGTGAGCTTGCACTCCCAGGAAGCACAGATCAGCACTAACAAAGGCAACTGAATCCCTCGCTTCACGTAGTCCAGACGCCAAGCTGTCTGCAGTGTGACCCTGGGTAAGGCATAGCTCTCTCTGGGCCTCTAGTCTCATTAAGCAGCCAAACAATTCCTGGGGTCCCTGCCAGGAGTGAAAACTGATTCCAACTGGTCATGTCTCCCAGGCGACACGTGTGTTGTTTCACAGTGACTTCAGAAGTTAACAGCCCCTGGAAGTTATGTAGATAGGGAAGTGAGGAGCAGGCAGGGAGGCCCGGAGGGTAGAGGAGATATTTGGGGGCAGGCGGATCCCCTAGTCACTGTTGGACAATGGTCCACAGCAGTCATTGTGCTGAGAGTGGAAAATCTTTTTTCTGACTTCATCTCCAAGGGCTGAAAATAGTCCAGGGTGGTGAGTGGAGGCCCTAGGGACTGGGTTTGGGTCTGATGAGTGACTGGCTGAGCTGTTCCATTGTTCCTGCCTGGGACAGTGCTGAGAATGGATACAGGCAAGGCGGCAGCCAGGACAGAGGCAAGCCCAGGAAGCGCTACAGGAGGGAGAAAGGCAGGGCAGAGCCAAGCCTTGCTGTAGACGGGGAAACTGAGGACCAAAGTGGGGAAGAGATTCACCAAGAACCAGGGTAGAGAAGGGTGAAGGTTTGGTTTCTGGGGCTAACATCCTGCCACTCCCACAAGCACACAGCCTGAGGGAAGCCAAGCACATCCGCCCTCTGCAGCCTAGGCCCTCCTGGTCAAGTCTACTCTGCTCTCTACAGGCACCAGGGGTGTCAGACATCAGACTGGCTCTACTCCAGGGCTCTGTGTGGTGCCTCAGAGGAGCCACTTAACCTCTCTGGTAACTTGATGCCTCCACTCTAGTCCTCAGAACTGAGAGTCCAGGATGTGTTTGGGGCTCCTGAGGGGGCAATTATTAGTTCTGTCTTTGATGAAGAGCCAGGCAGCTGATACCTTGACTGAAGTAAGGATAACTGGAATGTGGGAGGCAAGTTTCCCAGAGTCCAGGTGGCCCAGAGAGGGCAGGCACAAGCCTCAGGCCACACAGTAAACGCTGTTCACTGCCTCCTCTGGCATAATTCCAGATCAGCCCTCCCGCCTTAGGTCTCCAGGCTCCTGGTCAAACCACAGAGCAGCTGAAACACACCATAGCAGGCACCACCAGTGAAAAAGGGGTACGCTTCTGCCAGGGGTGGTGGGAGCTGTCTAGTTCATAGGGGCTGGTTCCAGAAGCTTGTTATCAAGGTCATCCCCACCTCCTCCTCCCACTGTTGCTTCTCCCTAATGCCTCCAACAGCCAGGCACCAGGACAAGGTTCTGTAAACACACAGAACTGTGTGTCTAAAAGCTGCCCAGTGCCATGCAGGGAAGGCTCCACACTTGACCTCCGGATGGACCTGCTTTCCCTCCTCCCATACTCTGGGGAAGATTCCACCTAAGGAACCCCCTTTTATTCAGGTAACACCCTCAGCGCCCTACACGGCACATAGTATCTCCTCTTAGAAATGAGAAAACCAAGGTGCTACAAGATTAAGTAATTTGCCCAAGCTGTCACAGCTGGAAGAAACGGAGACCACATTCAAACCCTGGTGGTCTGGGCATTGAATCTGTGCTCTTGACCCCATTCCCACTGTACTGAAGTCTGTCTTGAATCACATGAAGGGTCATCTACAGACCCTCCTGTCCGTAGGAGTTGTGAGGTACACGGGATCCGGGAAGGGGAAGTCATGTCGAATTAGATTCAATCTCTATTCACGTTTAGCCTGTGTAATCTGGAGCAAGTCCTCACTTTTCAGAGCCTGCCTGCTCAATAGAGATGATAATGTCTGTCACACAGTTGTGTGAAAATAACAGAATGGATGCGGGGCACCTGAGATGTGGGCTAGCACAGGAGTTCCCTTCCTCATGTGCCTAACTCTACACAGACGAGCCCAAATCTGTCATGGCATGGGTGGTGGTGGAGGATTAGCTTTGGTGACCCGACCTGGATCCAGACTGGAACAACTGTGTCTGGCCAGCATGTTGTCCAGGGCCCTGGAGGGTGAGAATAGGCATGTCCTCTGGGACTCCACCTCCTTCCTGGGCCCTGGGAAAACTGCCACCCAAGCCAGAGACTCCAACATGTCAGGGCCCCTGCCCTGGTTGCACAGAGCTCATTGAGAAAAGCTGCTCCAGGCAACTCAGCAGGTACTTACTCTCCCTGCCCTCCCAGCCAGATCTGCCGCCACTCTGCCCCATGTCCCTGGCCTCAGCTCCACAACTGTATCTGTTGACCCTAACTGCGGGGGCAGGAAGAGCTGAGGCTGCAGTGGAAGGTGAAGGCACTGACCTGCACTAAAGGGGGCAAAGCAGCAGGGGAGCACATCCAGGCATCAAGTTGACCTGCTGGGTGACCTTGGGTGAGGCTGGCCCCTCTCTGGCCTTGAGTCTGCAGCTGGCTGGATAATCCCTGGGGTCCCTGTCAGGTGGCTGTGCCCTTTCACAGTGGCCTTCAAGTGTCAACAGCCCCAGGAAGTGATGTCAGCGCAAGGAGGTGGGGAGGTCAGAGGGGACAGGGAGGCCTGGAGAGTAAGAGGAGATATTTTGAGACCAGACAAGTCCTCCACGTCACTGCTGGACAATGGTCTGGGGCTGGGAGTGGAAAATCCTGCTCTTACTTGAGCTGAAAATAGCACAAGCAGCAGGATCGAGAACCTCACCCACCAGGAAGGTGGCCTAGGCACTAAGCAGCTAAGCCAATGTACTCACTGAGGGGCTGGGCAGGCCCAGTGGAGTCCCGAGGTGGGACCCTGGGCCTGTGCCTGGTTCCTTTCAGGTCTCCATCCTCTATCCCCACCAGTGCCTGCCACAGGGTTAGATGGAACATGCTCCTTCTGGACCCTATATCCTATGTCCATAGAAATCTGCAGGCAGGGGCCTCCCTGGTGGCACAAGGGGTTAAGACACAACCTATGAAGCTATCCGCAGCCACTGCAGCATGAGTTCAATGCACAGCCAGGGAGGTGACCCACATGGCACAGCAGACCTCTCCTGACTCGCCCGCTGCTCCCCTCAGCAGTGTATTTCAGTCAATCTGCCTCTTCTGTTCCCCACTCTGTCTCTGGTGAATCCTCTTACTCCCCACACCTCTGGCCTGTACCCCAGTTCTTGTATGCATAAATAAATAAATCTTGAAAAAAAAAAAGAAATCTGCAGGCAGCTGTTTCAAGGAAGGCATCCTGGTTAGAGACCACAGTGTGCCAATGGCTCCCTGGACTCTGGGGTTCTTCAGGGCAGCTACTAGAAGGGTAAGTGGGCATGAAAGGAATGGGCACTAGGGGAGCTTGGGTTGGGTGCCCATGGCCCAACCACAAATATATACTCAAGAGCCTCTGAAGTCATGATGTATAACTGGATCTAAGCAGGGTCTGCCTGAAGATGCCAGAACTCAGGCTTCAAAGGCAGAGTTGCTGGCAGGCAGAGTATCCCTCCTGGGTAGGGGGCTCCCTATAATTTGGGAGGGGTTCAGTCTGAGTCATAGCTGGTAGGAAAGAGATAGACTTGGGCCAGCAGAAATGTTCAAGGACTAAGGTAAGTAGTCACAAAAGAAGCTCAGAGGGACTCGAGTTATATTAATAGAAGTATAGGGCTTAGTATGTGGGAGATGAACACTTCACCTACTCTGCGCAGGTCACCCACATTGTACAATGTGGAGTGATCATTTCGGTCATGGTTTGTGATGGGTTCCTGTCACTTGGGGGAGCTGTGGAGCTAGATTCTAAGAGCAACCCCTGGAGAGACCCCATTTTGAAGACGGAGTGTGAAGGCTAAATAAGCCAGAGGAGGCAGATGGAGCTGAGGTGGGGAAAGGTTTGGGACCCCAAGGGCAAGGGTTGTGAGTCTATCCTTGTGGTTAAGATTCAGGCCTGTCACTTTACCCCATCCCTATCCAAAGGTTAGGGCTGGACCCATCCATATCCAAAGGTTAGGGCTGGACCCATCCATCTGAGTGCCACAGATTAGCTCAGGGTGGTCCTGGCTGGACCCAGAACCTGTCACAGGTGAGACCCATCTCTAAACCTTGATCCAGCTTGAGTTGGAGTTGGATGGTCAGGACATGGAAGGAGCCAGAACATGGCCTCCTTGTGACCTGGCCCAGGCCTCCTTCCTGCCTTGAACCTGGGCACTGGTCACCTGCCTGTTTCTAGGTCTGCACACCCCGCCCCCTTGTCTTTGCCCAGAACACCTTCTGCACCTGGTGTTCTCTGGTGAACTGCTTTTCTCAGAAGCTACAGCTTCTCCCCATTCTGGAAGCCTTCCCTGACCCTGATCCACAACCACAGCCATGCAGCATTATTCAGGGGTGTGCTTTTGTACCTGCTTGCAAGAGCCAACTGTTCACTTTTCAGGAATTTTGCAAGGAAGTTGACATCACTTCAGTAATCTAAAATTGGCCGTAATTAGCAGTATTTGCATTGTGGCCTTTGGCAATGCTATAAATAAAAGGTTTCCTTTATTCCACCCCCAGAATATTAAGTCCTAAACTGGGGAATCCCAAGGTCTGGGACCCTAGCTGATTTCTCTTGGACCTAGCAGAGTCAGACACAAAAGTAGGTTGGCTCTGAAATGGCGCATAACTTGGGAGAGAGAGGAGGTTCCTGCTAGGAGACCGCCGCTGCGGTGCCAGGGAGAAGGCAGCTGACGGAAGGGAACAAGCTGGAGAAAGGACTCTTGTGGGATCATGGAAGCTCCTAGGATGCGTTCCTATATTCCAGCCACACAATGGCACAGCTCAGCAGGCGACAAGACCTTTAGTATAACTTACAGCCAGGGGAGGCTCCCACCCCAGGGGAACCTCCCGAGGGGCCTATGACATAAGACCCCAGATTTTCATTTCTTGGGCTGGGGGTACACCTCGGAGCTGAGTCCACTATGGCACCCAGAGCAGCCCAAGTCACCAAATTACCTTTGGCTCAGTGCTGACTCCTTACCAACCAGGGGCCTCTGGTCAACCTTATAATAGCCCCTCCATCCCCCAGGGATCTCAGGTCCAGAATCGCTTTTCCTTCTGGTCCTGTTTCTCCACTTGACTTGGTTGGGCTGGGCTCCAGCCTGGGTACCTTGGCAGGCAAGCCCAGCTATTTATGTGGGAATCCGGTCAGGGGTAGCGCTGGTCCAGAACCTTGCCTTTCTTGAAACCTTGTTTCCCAACTCACACGTACAAATGGTGACTGGGGGCTGGGGCTACTGAGCTCTGGGCCAGAGACGATCCTCAGTTCCTGCCGAATGACAGAGCGCTGAGGTCATGGCTCCCTTAACCATCCAGCAGTAATCACTATTGTCCTTATCCTCAGATAAGGACATTTAAACAAGCATTAGTCCTTTTCAGCCCCCACATGAAAACTTTCACAGGTACAAGGGGTCCGAGTCCTACAGCTGAATGTCCTTAGTGGCTTCACCATCAACTGGCGTGGAGTCTGTCTGTCTGGAGTCCTCACTGTTGGAGTCTTCCCTCCTCCCCACGTCAGTTTTGCCAGACCTGCGCAAGCCCAGCCTGCGGTGTGCCTGGGTGGGAATGGCCGGCTCTGTGGGTGGCTTGGTGTCCCGGGCAAAGCGCACGAGCCTCTGCCCAGCCAGGAAGTAGAGCACGGGGTCAAGGCAACTGTTGGCGCTGGCCAGCGGCCGGGTGATCTTGTAAGCTATGTTGATGGCATTGAGGGCGTGACAGCTGAGATCCAGGGAGCGGAAGGAGTAGTAGAGGGTGCGGGTGACGTGAAAAGGCAGGAAGCAGAGGGCAAAGACAGCCAGGACCACAGCGATGGTGCGCACTGACTTGCGCTTGGCTCTCGGCAGGCCTCCCGAGGTCCCGTAGGCTGGCTTCAGCAGCCGCTGTGCCATGAGCACGTAACAGACCAGGATGATGGCAAAAGGTGCCGCGAAGAGCAGGCCCAGCATGACGGAGCTGTAGGCCACAAAGTAACTAAAGAGCTCGGGTGCTGAAGTGTCATGGCAGGTAATCCGGTCTCCACGTGTGCTGGTGGTGACGAAGTAGAGCACAGGGGCCTGGCAGGTCAGCACCAGCACCCACACGATGGCTGCCACACGGCGGGCATAGTGAGCCCGGCCCCAGCGCAGCGAGCGCAGCGGGCGTAAGACGCCCAGGCACCGGTGCACACTGATACACGTGAGGAAGAGGATGCTACAGTAAAGGTTGGTGTAGAAGAGAAAGCGCACCAGCTTGCACAGCACCGTGCTGAAGGGCCAGTGGTCGCCTTGGGCATAGTAGTAGACCAGCAGTGGCAGGGAGGCTGCGTACAGCGCATCTGACACGGCCAGGTGGAACATGTACGTGGTGGAGGCATTCCAGGTCTTGAGGCGGCACAGGAAGATGTAGAGTGCCACAGCATTCAGGCACAGCCCCAACACGCACACCACGCCATAGGACACGGGCAGCAGCACATACTTGAAGTCCTCGTTGAAGCGGCACTTGTAGCCCAGTTCATCCCCATACCAGGTGTCATTGATGGTGCCATTCCAGAGGCCTGGGCCTTTGGCCATCACCCTGCAGGGAAGGGGGTAGGTGGGCAGAACAATCATTAGGGTCATGGCCCAGCTTCTCAGGGAGGCCTGACACCTAGCCAAGTGCCCACAGATTCCCTGAGCTAAGATCTATCCAACCACATCCAAGGCCTTTGTTGCTATCTGACCTGGTTCTCTCTGAGACCCAGAGAACTCAGAACCCCCAAACCCTGAATCCTTGAGAATGCATGAGATCCATGAATATCAGGATCATCCAATTAAGGTAGGCAAATTATACCCTGAAGCTGAAAGCCAGACCACCAGTTTGTTTCTGTAAATAAAACCTTTTTTGGAGCATAGCCATATGCACCCATTTACAAAGAACTGAATAGTTGTTGACAAAGATCACATGTCCCGCAAAGTCTAAAATACTTACTATCTGGCTTTGTACAAACAAGAACTTTGGTAACTCTGCTTTATAACCTCAGGAGCACAGAGTTTTAGATCTGGGATCCTGAGCTCTAGAATCTGAGGATCTGGGGGGTTGCATGTATTTCAGAGTCTTGGAAAGGGGCCTTTAAGGCTAACTGGCCCTTCCCCACACTCTGTGCCCACTGCCTGCTGAGATATTCCAATTCTTCCAAAGGCATTAAAGTTATTTCCTTTAACTCATTTTTTCTGCTCGCTGGGAAGGTTCTGGTCCTGTGCCTGGTATTTTCACATTTGGGGGTGTATTTCCAAGGGTCTCCCTATTCAGGCACTCATTCAATCACTCAGCAAATATTTCTTAGGTACTCCTATATTCTGATACTTTCTGTATCTGCAAACAGTAGTGTTGCTCCCTGGTTTGTCAGGCTACCAGATGGGACAGTGACCTTCCTGAAGATTCCAGGGAGTGTGAATGTAGGTGGGAGTGGGGGCAAAGGGAGATTTCTTTTGTGGGACAAATTTAGCTTCCTCCAAGCCTACCTGGCTTCTCCCACACACTATCACTCTCATGACCATCCTCTGCTTTGTTCCTAGTGGGCATTTAACATGTCCATGGCACTCACTACTCAGAGAGCACCTGGAGAACAGGTTGTTTACTTTCTTCCTCTCCTACCCCTGCCAATGTGATAAGTCAGAGCTCTGTCTGCTGGCAAGCAGGGCACAGATATTTCAGTCTGGAGGGCAAAAATTTCCAGCAGGCAGGAAATCCTAGCAGGAGTGCTAGATAGGCAGGTTTGGAACAAACATGAAGAATAACTTTCAAACAGTGTGAAGGGGCCGGAAGCCTGCTATTTTCCAACCCATACAACTAAGTGTGCTTTCTAAATGTACATTCCATTCTTACAACATGCTTCTGGGAGCCAGGTTATCAAGCCTGATCTTCTCATAACAAGGCTGCAACACAGATCATTGGAGTAATTTTGCCAAGGTCACACATAGCTGGGGGATGGGCTATAATTCCTATTGGACCATCTCACAGTAGAAGGTGATGTAAGAGGGAGCTCGGGAGCACCCTGCTTATTGGGGGGAGGGGTGCATGTGGCCCTCTAGCAGAGCTTGCAGGAGGGCTGCAGCCATGTGTGGGGGTGTATCTGAGAGGATGGAGTACAGTGACAGGAGTCATCCCCACCCTGAGAATTTGAGGCTGTGTAGAGGCCTGAGAAGCTGGGACTTAGGGACCCTGCAGAACAGGCCCTTCAGCTTCCTGCCCAGCCTGGCCTCCCAGCAGCAATTCAAGGCCCCAGAGGTTAAGATTATGGAGGCTGAGGGACACAAATTCCTCTTCTTTCTCCATTAACCTCCCCTTCACGCCCCCCCATCCCACTCCTGTATCTGCAATGGTGTAAATAAAGGAAGGGAGGCTGCACTCAGCACCTCCTGCAGTGGATACAGGTTCCTCCCCAGGGAGGCAGATCCAGGGTGAGGAAACAGGGAGAAGCCTAAGTGGTACTAAGGTGAGAGGGGGCAGATATGGGGGGCTGTATCAGGGCCAGGTTGCTGGGACTTCTTTTGCTCCTGGGCCAGGACTTAAGACCCAGTGTTCTGACATCTGCATCCCATCCCATCCCATCTCAGAGCCGCTGTTGTGACCACTGCATCATTGCGCCAGGCTCCAGCCTCAGTCCCCCCAATCCAGAGGGGTCTTTGTGAAAGACAGACATTCCCCTGCTTGAAAACCTCTGTGGCTGCTGCCTCCTCCCAGAAGAAAACCAGCCCATCGGTCTGATGTTGTATGTTTTCAAATTGTAGCTTCAGCCAAGCAGCTCAGCCCCTCCCTGGCAACTGAGATTTCCTGAATGTGCCTGTAATTCTCCAGACTTAGTTCATTTGCTGTTTCAACCTGGATTAGATTAGATCACATCCCTCATCTTCACCGGCTGAAATTATAACTCTATCACTCAACACAGCAAACGCCAATGATTAAGAAGAGCTTGACCTCTGGAGCCAGGCTGCCTTTGTTTCCTCACCTATAAAATGAGGCAGTTAATAGACCCTACATCATAGGACTGCTGTGAAGACTAAGTAATTGTGTAAAATATTTGGAGCAGTGCCTGGCACAGGGACAATGCTGTTATGAGCTTCAAGGCTCACCTCAGATGTGGCCTTTTCCAGAAATCTTTGGGAAGCTCTCAGACCGTGGGTAGAAGAGAGGTAGAAGGCCTTGGCTGGAAGCTGTGGAGCAGGTGAGTGGGGTGGGGTGGGGGGGACCAGGAGAGTGACACTGAAGCCCAAACCAGGACCAGGCCTGGGGACTTCTGATGGGAGAGATGGAGACAGCTGTGCGGGAGGGAAGCTGGAAAGACAGGCCCCCAATGGACGGATAAAGAGGGGGAGGCAGAGAGGAGACCCTGCTCAGGGGTCAGGAGGAAGAGCAGATGGGGGAAAAGGAGGAATTCACTGCCCAACAGGGTAAGCATGGGGTGCCCCCAAAGGAGAGTGGGGGCATATGGGAATGGGTGAGACAATCAGATCTGGTACTTGGGGAGGAAGGATGGGTGTCGCTGGCCCACTGAGGAGCATGGAGGCCTGAGTGTGAAGCTGAGGGCTTGGGGAGGGGCCACATTCCCACCGAGGCAACCTGACTTGGGTGTCCAGCTATACCTTGGAAGCCCAGGTGACGGCAGGCTCTTCCTGCCCTCCCTGTGTGCTCCTGGGCTGAATCCCCCAGCATTGAGAATGGTGGCTGTAAAACTTCATCCATGTCCCACTGGAGACAGGGAGGGTAGCCCTCGCCATGCTCCATGCTTTAGCACACACACCCCATCCCACCCTGTAGGGTAAGGTAAAAGTATCAGGCTTTTCTGCCCTCCCGCCATCAGGATAGATGAGGGAACCCTGTGATCCTGAATGCATGCCTGATGGTGGGCACCTGGAGTAGGGTGTGGGCATAGGTAGACAGATTCACCTGAGCTAAGACTGGGCTTTTAAGGGTGGCATCACGGGGACGCCAGTGAAGCTGAGAGAAGAGAAGCAGAGCAGCAGAGATCACCAGAGAACCCAGACAGAGTCAAGACTTACTGGGGGCTGGGAGGACTGCCAGTCTCTCAGCCCCCCAGCACCCCTGCCTGCTGTGTACCTGGTAAATCCCAATAAAAACCTGAAGAGCCACCGAGGGCTCCAGGACTCTCTAGGACTCCTTCTTTATTGGGTCTGCTGGGATCATAGAAAACCTGCATTGTGGCCCATCCTGCCCCTTACACACACCCACACCCCACACTCCCAGCCCAGTGCAGAGCCCTGGCAGTCTCTCCTCACATCAGGGTCAAACCCTCACCTCTTTAGAGTCTACATCTCTTGCTCTGCACAAAGAACTTCTTCTTTTTTTTTTTTTTTTAGAGGCATGTTTTATTTATTTATTTGTTTGTTTGTTTGTTTGGTTTATACATGCACTGGGTACAGTCAGAAGCACGGGAGGGTGAGAGAATTCACCAGAGCCAGAGCGGGGAGCAGAGCAGGCAGAAGGACCGAAGTACACTGCTGAGGGGAGCAGCGGGCGGCAGGAGAGGTCTGCGCGCCATGTGGGACCCTCCTCCGGTGGCCTGGGAGCAGCTGGGGATCGAACCGGCGCTGCAGAGGCTGCGGGCAGCATCGCAACCCAACGCTCAACCGCTGCGCCACCGGGGAGGCCCACAAAGAACTTCTTGCTAGTTACTGACAGTGGAATCTCTGACACTGAAGAGAGGGGTGGAGACTTCCCTAAACCTCCCTTGAATCAAGGGAGATGCCCTTTCCACCTGCTTGAAGACATCCTGGCCTCCACCCTCCCAGGCCAGCTGGCAACTCCATCACCATGGCCCCAGTCCAGAATGACCCTGCCCGCCCTCTCCCTCTACAGGCTGGCTCATCAACATGTGAGTACATCCTTCCAGCCCCAGGGCCCTTGCTTAAGGGAGAGAGCAAGTCCCCAGCCCTCTCCTGCCGCCTTTGCCTCTGCCTCTCCCTGCCCCTGGTAACCTACAGACTGGCCCCCACCTCACTTTGCCCAATACTACTTACCAGCCCTTCTCTGCTCCGTTCTGGCTGCCTTGCCCTGAAAGCTCCTGGTCTGAAAGGAGACATGAGCCACGTAAGGGCCCTGCCAGTCTCCCGTGACTTTGTTCATGCTGCTCTTTCTGCCTTGAAAGCTTTTCTAGAACCCACCCACACTGACTCCATCCTACCCACCCCTCAAGGTACTTTTCAAATGTTACCTCATCTCTGAAAACTCTCCCCCCTCCCTCCACCCTTGCCCAGGGTATTCCCCATGCCCTGTTGGTAATTTGTCTTTCTACCCTCTACCCCAACACATTCCAGGTATTCTTTAAGGGCTGGGTTAATCTGATTCTTTCCCCCATCTCTATCATCCAGCCAGAGGCCTGATCCAAAGCAGGCACAGCATGAAAGAATGAGTGAATGAGTGAAGCAAGCCCAGGAGGCTACAGGAGCCCAGAGGAGGATGAGTTTTATGATAGTTGCTCCCCTTTCTCTTGTTCTCTGAGAGTCTCCTGGAATACAATGACACTAAAGATTTCTCAGCTGCTGACCCTAGGTGGACAGGGAGCCTGAAGCCTGCTCCTGCCCTACACAGGCCCCTGGACTGTCTTTCTTCAAGAAGAAGGCTAGGGAAGGAGAATATGACCCTGTATCCCGGAGATCGGTCATTTGTTTCAGCCAGTAACATTGTTTTATCTTGTCCATCTCTGGCTCAGGCCATAGGTCAGGAGCCCCTGATCCTGGGCTCACCCCATCCCCACCCCATCCCATTTGTAGGGACCAGACCTGGGCTGAGTAGTTTTCATGCAGCATCTTTGTTTCATCCCCCACCTTCATCTCTTGGTAGATATTGCCATAGAGGTTATTTTTTCAAGATCACCCTGCCAAGGGTTGGAAAAATTGGGCTTGATACCTAGGGCTATCTGGCTCCATAGCCTGAATTCATCACCATTTAGGATGAGGGACCAGGGCAGAAATTCCCTTGATCCACCCCCAGCTCAGTGCACACACATGCCTGATCTTTGCAGCCACAGGGCCACACCTTCACACACCTGCCCTCCCAGCCAGCAGGCCCCACCCTCACACACCTGCCCGTACCTGACCAGCTCCTGCTCTCACTGTCAGGATGCTCAACGCCTGCTCAGGTTCCTCACTCATGAATGCACACGCCTGGACCCGGCTGCAGGGAACTCTGCGGGGAAACAGGAAAAACAGGTCCCCTGGCCTTGGGCCACACCCAGTTTCCAGCATTTCTCAGGGCAGGCAGTGTGTCCCCGCTACCAGCTCCTGACTGGGAGGTGGGGACAGCATGGGTTTTGGGTCACAGGAAGTCAGCCAGGCCAAGCCCTCCCAGGGCTGCCTTCTGCGTTCCAATCTTGGCCCCAAAAGGTGACCTGGCAAGCTTGTTCCAGTAGGAGTGATGTCTGACTTCCCCCCAACATTGAGCCATCCACCCACAGCTTGCATGCTCCAGGCCTAGTTATTCCAGTATCCTACCCCAGGCACCCCCTTTCACAGGAGGGTGATCCTGCTAGGGGAGGTTTTCCCCATACCTTATAGAGCTGAGGTAAGCCTCTAGTGTCCTTTCCCTCCTCCTGATTCTGTGCATCCATCCCACAACAGGAAACAGTGAACAATCCTCTTAGCCCAGCATACACACCACAGCACTTCAGTCAATGCAGTTTTGCTTAGGTTGAATCTGTCTGGAAGTCCCTCCTCCCCCTCCCACTTCTAGTCACTCCTCTATCCATGTCATAAACCCAAATGAACACACACAGACCTCTACACAAGTAAAAACACAGATGCACAGAGGTGTGCACACATTGTGCACCCTCTCCCCAATCATAACAGTCAGGCCTGGAACAGCCTTTAAAAATCACCTGGCCAAGCTCCCATTTGCCAGAGGAGGAAACTGAGGCCCAAGGCCTCACTGTAAGTAAGGAACAAAGTCAAGATGAGAACTAGGCCTTCTGGATTCTGGCCCTGGTTTTTGTCTTGCCCGGGAACCTGTCACACACACTTACCACGCGCAGGGTGTCAGTGAGGGCATGGTTACCTGGCAGAGGGACCCCTCTGTCTGGACTGGTCCAGTATCCACAGCTTCAGACACATCACAGGGAAAAAGGATATCCTCCTTTTTCCATCTGCTTCATTTCCCTACAATGGGGAATGGGGTCTGAGACAGCTGAGGCCAGGCCCCCAAGCTGGCAGTGCGGTGCAAGTGTGGGGGAGAGTGGGGAGAGGAAATTGGTGGCTGCAGATATCAGGGTGTGTGAAAGGTTCGGCGCTGTAAAGAAAAGGAGAGCCAGGCTAAATTTCTCAAAGGGAGGGAAAGTTTATTGCGCCCCGGGCGGACCTCACAGACCCAAGGCGGGGGTCAGTGAAGCCGCGCACGTTGTTAGGGTGAAGCAGGGTTTTATAGGGTAAGGAGGGGTCAGGTGGGAAGTTGGGCTCCTATGGCGGGAAAAAGTTTGTTTGTTGGGGGGGGGAGTTTCGTGGGGCAGGTAGAGGTTCTTGGTCTGAGAAGAGACTCGTAGAGGGAGGGGGTAGGCTCACTGCCTGAATCCTCCAGGCAGGTATCCGCATTCCTGCTCCCCAGGTGGGCTTCCTGGTGGGCTTCTGCATTCCGGCCTCCTGCATGGACCTTTCAGTGTGGACGCTGGGAAATGCCTCCTGGCCTCTGTTCCCAGGGCAGCTTGCTCGGGAATCTTAGGCTGACCTGAGACAGCCGACTGATAGCCATTTGCCAGTCTGTGCTGGAGTCTACTGACAAGGTGAAGGAGCATTACCTTTTCACCCCGCTCCACCCCGGGTCACACCCTTGCTTCTCTTCCTGACAAGATGCTTTCTCTGAACAGACCAAAGTGGAGCACAGCTCTTTCTCAAAGCCATTCTCCCATTTCTGAGAAGGACCTCCACGTCCATCCTTCCAGATTTCAAACCTCCGGTACACTCCTTAACAACCGCTCTTTCTCATCCACTCTCCCCCCACCCCTCACCAGCGCTGTAAGTTCAACCAGTGAAGTGGCTCAGACACGCCGCTCTTTCCCACCCCCTAGCCTCAGGTGTGCCTTTCTCCTCCAGACCATTGCACCAACCTCTCTATTGGTGTCTCTGTCTCCACCCGTCCCCTTCCTGTCCATCTTTCATACTGCAGTCCAGGCTCTTCCTAAAACACAAATCTAACCACATATTGTTGAGCTCAAAACCCTTCCATGGCTCCCTATTGCTCTCAGGCTATGTCCAAGCTCCCAAAGTTAGACCCTGCTGCCCCTCTAGACAACTCACTCACTCTGCCTCTACCCTCACTTCCTTGTCTCACGGCAGCCCCCTGGTCATATCGTTGCTCAGGGACACCCTCCTCTATCTTCTAACAGCTACACTTTAACAAGAGTTGACTTGGCTTTCTCTGTGCAAAGTTCCATGTAAGATGACTTCACAGACCACCTCTGCTCATTTAATCTTGAGAAGCTCGGGGAGACTAAACTCTCCAGTCACAAAGCTAGCAAATGTCAGAGCAGTCCTGATCTGGCTAACTTGAACCCTGTCCATGACCTTGTACCCCCTCAGGCCTAGGTGCTCTCCTCCAGGAAGCTCCCTGGCCAGCCCACTTTGAGTCCCCTGGCCTGTCTGCTCAGTTTTCCTCCAGAGGGCTTACCCTACAGGCAGGGCCCAGTACCTGCTCTTCCCAGGGCTTTCCCATTGTGAAGCAACCATGGTGCTTATTGTACCCCTCTCACAGGTAGAAAAATTAAGACCAGAAAGGGTAGCCCTAGGTCTCACCCAAGGCCACCAGCAAGTAAAGGGCAGAGCCAAGGTTAGCACGCAAATCACCTGCTCACCCAATTGTCTCTGTCTCTGGCCCACACTGAATCTCTCTCCCTGTGGCCCCAGGCTAGTCAGCCTAAAGTCAGGAGGAGGGGCCGGGGCGGTTCCCAGGCTGGTTGCGGAATTTCCAGGGTAGCTGGACAACATTCCAGCTCTTTCACTAGGGTGGCTCTGGAATGTACCGCCTCCCCTGCTCACACCCACCTAGATGGCCCTGTCCAGCCTGGAAGGGGAGAGGGACTATCACCATTCTGAAACCCCTGTTGCCTGACTCTGTCAGGGTGGGGCGCTATGGGGACAAACAGAGGGACTTAGAGACCCAGAAGATCATCGAAGGGCCAAGGCAGGCATGGGGCAGGTGGAGAATCCCATTTCTCCCATTCCCAGCGTGGGACCTGCACAAATCTCTGCTGTACAACCCGATCTCAACTTCCCGTTAATCTCCAAAAAGTGTCTGCCTCATAAGGTTTTTGAGACAGCCAAAGGAGATGATTTAGACTCATTTTAATAATTAAGAGATGCAGGGCCTCCCCGGTGGCGCAGTGGTTGAGCGCTGGGTTGCGAAGCTGCCCGCAGCCTCTGCAGCACCGGTTCGATCCCCGGCTGCTCCCCGGCCACCGGAGGAGGGTCCCGCATGGCGCGCAGACCTCTCCTGCCGCCCACTGCTCCCCTCAGCAGTGTACTTCGGTCCTTCTGCCTGCTCTGCTCCCCGCTCTGGCTCTGGTGAATTCTCTCACCCTCCCGTGCTTCTGACTGTACCCAGTGCATGTATAAACAAAACAAACAAACAAATAATAAATAAATAAAACATGCCTCTATAAAATTAAAAAAAAAAATAACTAAGAGATACAGTTTCAGCAGGCAGAGACAACAGGGAGCACAGGGATATTCCAGAAGACAAGAGGGACAAGAAGCTGACAGGAATTATGAGCAGAGTAGCCGGGTCACAACCAGACTGACCACGGGTTAATTTTCCCACACTGAAGGGAGGGCAGTCCAAGGACCCCTAGCAGGAGCGAGACCCCGCCACAATCCTTCATTCTCTTGCCCTTTACAGAATTGCTGTATTTACACCTGTTCCTGGGCAGGGCACTTGGGACTCTGAGGAGGGTCAGACACTTCCACAATAGCATGAAACTCAACATTGCTGTGAGAGGCAGGGAGGACAAGGAGAGACCCAGGCCCTTGAGGAGCTCCAGAAACAGGCAGTGACAACTCAGGGTGATCAGAGCTGAGGGAGCACCAGAGCGGAAGGAGCCAAGAGAGTCCCAGTGGAATGGGGGTGTGTGGTCAGGGAAGCCTCCTAAGGAGAGACACCTGACCTACATTTACAAGCTGGGCAGGACTAGGTGGGTGGAGAGAGAAGGTGAGCAGTGAGCAAAAACTAGAGTACCTGATCACATAGTATGCTGGGAAACATCAATTATCCCTATGGTTTGAGGAGAGTGGAGAGAGCAATACTGGGTTGAAGGATCTTGGAAGTCAACCTCTGCACCCTAAAAATGTCCTCCAGGGGACTGAAGGCCAGCAGGCCCCCAGCCTTGCCTGGTGTGCCTTTTGCACCACAAGCACTGGGGCTGGTCTGGGAAAATAGCTGAGGGGGTAACCTCAGATGTTATCGGTAGCAACTGTTGCTGTTTTAGTGTGAAACCTCTGCAGGCTCCTCACAGAGGTCCTGGGGTTCTGTAACCCCTTCTGGAGGCTTCCTCCCTCTTGGAAGGCCCCAGGACCATGGTTGTGGGGACCACCTGCTAGATCGAGCTCAGAACATCTGAGTGTATGGAACTCAGGTCAGCCAGGCTCGTCCTACCCTCAGGGCAGGACTCTAAACCACCTTTCCCATCCCTGAATGGCACAGTCCTGTATAGCCCAGGACAAACCTATAGAGACATGCTACTAAAAGGAACCAAATAAGAACCACCATGCCAGGCTGTACCCAACCTAGCACACCCAGGTGCCTCCAGCCAGACTCAAGAGGCAAGAACCCTCAGTTCAGTCTCCATCAGAGGCCTGGCCCAGCTATGCTGTGCACTCTTGCTCAAGTCAGTTCCCTGTTTGGTGCCTCAGGTTCTTCATTGGTTAAATGGGAAGAATCATCACTACACAACTCGGGTCATGAAGAAGGAGTCAGACAAGGGGCTGGGTGGGTGTTCCAGGGGTCTAGCAAATCAGGCACTGTCCTGATATCATGGCAGAGACACCAAATATATTTCAGCAGGGGTCCTCCTAGGTGACTAGCAGAGGGGCAGGGGTCATGGTCAGAGCTATCAGGGAAGGCACCTGGGAGGAGCTGTGATCAGGTCTGAGGAGAAGTGTGAAGGGTCCCACTTGAGAGGAAAGAGGGAGAATGCAGAACCCAAGGTAGAAGAAGGGGCCAACGTAGATCAGGACAGAAGTCTGATTCCGAGTGTCTCACTCTGAGTCCTTCCGGGATTCTTACAGCCCTATGCCAAGAGTCTCTGGTTCTGGGAGTGAGTGTTCAATGTTTTTTCAGCTCTGTAACTCAATGCTTCTGATAGCCATTGGTTTTGAAATTCTTAGAATCAACGGAGTCTGGACTCTCAGAGTAGCATACTCATAAACAATAACCCAGGAGCCACAAAGTCTCAGCAAACACTTGCCAAGAGCCCCCATGGGCCCAAATTACAAATTCAACTCAGATCAGACTCAGGCAGGCCCTTGAGGAGCTCCAGTGTGAATTGGAGAAAGACGTAGACATGGACCAATTTCACTGGGTGGTTAAGATGGTGACCAAGGGAAGCCTAGGAGCCATGCAGCCCAGAGTAACCCTGAAGGAAGCGGTCAGAGGAAGCTTCCCAGGGGAGGGGTCATTGAGTCAGGTCACTGAGAGTTTTGTCAAGTGGACACAAAGATAGGAGGGCATTGAAGACAGGACGAGGAGCAGGTGCAAAGACTCAGGAGTGTGATACTGTGGCCACCCAGGGAAAGCAATGGGGTCATATGAGGCTGGCATGGAAGGCTAGGGAGCACAGAGTTGGGGGAACTTGAAGGACTCCTATGAAAAGGCTTGATTGCCAGGCTAAGGAGCTTGGCCTTTATCCTGAGAACAATGGGAGCCACAGCAGGGCTTACACAAGAAAGGACATGGTCCTTTGCAAAGTGACCTTTGCAAAGATGGTGCCCCATGGAAAGCAGATACGGTGGGGTAATATGCAGGGAGGGAGACCAAGAAGGAGACTGCAGAAACAATGGTAGAGTAAGAGGGCTGGATCTTTGGCCCCAGATTTCTTGTGGGATGGGGAGCATCCTTACTGGCCCACCGCCCAGCCATTGCAAGAATTCTCCTCCCACAAGCTAGAGCGAGGAAGCTGGACACTCATTAGGAAGTCAAAGCAATACCAGGAGTCTCCCCGGAGGCAAGAAACAGTGGGTGTCATGTAGGCTCCAAGAAACCTTAGTGAGAGGCCCTCCTTCCATGGTGCTCCAGTTCCAGTGATGACGTTATTGTCATTGTAATGACAGTAACAGGATACCAGTGTAGAGGGCCATGGAGGAAACAGCTGCCCAGAAGGGCCCAAGCTGCCCACCCTCACAGTAGGGATTCCAACTACTCACCCTGGACCAAATGGACTCAAGTAAACAGAGAAACTCCTCTGCTCAAGAACCAGTTGTAGCTCTCCATGGAGCAAGGTCCCCCTCTGCCACTATAGGCTTACGTTCACCTGGTCATTCATTTCCCAAACTCTCACTGGCACCTGCTTTGTGTCCAACTTCTAGGTTGGCCCTAGAAGGGCCTCACCTCTAGGTTGGCCCTAGAATGAAAGGATTGTCACCCTCCGCTTCTCCAACACTTGAGCTGTCCTGGGGTCTGGCCAGAGGAGTTGGAGTAGCACAGTGGGTGAACCTCACATGTGGCTGCCAAGCTTGGGCAGCAAAAAGAGGCTATGGCCCCTCCATTCCTGTTCTCCTGCCCAGAATACCCTCTAGAATGGGTACAGAAGTCAGTGAGGTCTCCATAGCCAGCCTCCCCACATCAAGCTCCAATTGTGAGGAGAGGCTAGGGCTGAAGACATAGAGGCAACCCAAAAGGAAGCTGTGGGTCAAAGAGTGCACCAATTGGGCCCACCAAGGAAGTTTGGGGAGAAAAAAGATTCTGTTATAAATACTTCCACTTCCTCTCACCAGATCAGCAAGGCTGCCTGGGCCTGTGGACATTATGCTATCAGTTGCTGGGTAATCACACCACAAGCAAGACCTCAAGACAGCTTCTCAGGGGAGAATTCAAACTTCCTTTGACCCGTAAGTCAGAAGACCAGGCTTTACCTGGACGGGGTTTCTATCTTGAATGGGGAAAGATGCTGTGGGACAGGTAGGCAGGAGCCCTCACCTTTGTGACCTTGGCCAAGATACTTTCTGAGTTTCTATTTCCTCATCTGCAAAGGGGGATATGAATTCCTCCCTCGCAGGCTTGAGGACAATAAAATGAAGGACATTTGTAAATTGTTACTCATAAACTGTCTCTGCAAAGGGGCCACAAGAAGAAGAGAGTCAACAGTTAACATTATATAATGACCAACATGATCCCTTGCACCTGTGTTCTATTATTACCTTCAAAATGCATTTAAGACTATGAGTATCACACTCCTCCACGGTACATTGCACTTTACAACTAACAAAGCTGTTTCCTGGACCACTATACTAAGACACCTCATGGCGACCTTGCCTTTGAAGAGGCAAGGATCATCATGCCCAATTTATGGATGGAAAAACTGAACTGGAGGGGCACAGTGGACTCTCTAAGGGCTACAGCCAGGAAAGAAGCCAAGTCAAAGCACTCACGGGGTCACCCTTGAATAGTGTTGTCATACTCTTAGTTGGTCCTTAGGGAGTCCAGAAGCCTCAGAGCCCTGTGCATCCTGGACAGCTGAACAGGAATGGAGGGGCCATGGCCTCGCTCTGCAGCCCAAGCTTGGCATGAATGAGGGTCACCCGCTGTGTTCCTCCAACCCCTCTGGCCAGACCCCAGGACAGCTCAAGGGTTGGTGAAGAGGAGGATGACAATCCTTTCATGCCAGGGCCTCCCCAGGCACTACCCGTACTCTCCATATAGGACCTTACTGGTTCTGGTCTCCTTTTAAAGGTGGGCAGGATGGGAACTGCCCCAAGGCCACCCACAAATTTGAAGGCAGAGCTGAATTGAGATGATCACAGGTCTCCTGGCTCCCAGTGGGGAAGGGAGAGTCCTTAATGTCCCCAATTACTCAGCAGGAGCATCTGAGGACTTAAGGAAGTGTTTGGCCAACGAGACAAGTACTGAATTTAAATAGTGCCTAGATGTTTCTGGTGTCAATGTCATAAATGCCCTGACCTCTGCACATTCAGTAATTCTCAGTCTGTTCTCTGCCCTGCAGCCAGAAAGATCTTCCTGAAGTGCTGTTCTGACCACGTATTGCCCCTGCTCACAAACCTTTCAAGTGTGAGTTTTCAGCCTGCACATTCTGCATCCCCAGGACACACTATCCTGATGAACTGTGTCAACCATTCTTGTGACTGGATTCTGTTCTCCCCTTCTTTGTGGTGACATGGAGCTCTCCTACAGACAAGATTTTGTAGGGGAAGCTGGGACAGGGGTCTGGGGATAGGGGCTGCTGCTACTCTAAGTTCATCTCAGCCCTGTTCAGGGTGCAGGCAACACAGAAATGAGTGAGACCTAGTTCCTGTCCTCCAGGGACCCCCAGAACTGGGTTGAAAGAAGGAAGAGACAGAGACCATGACAGTTCAGGGTGGGGCCGGGGCTATCAGTACATGGACTGTAAGAATGAAGAAGAGGTTCCAACCCAGCTGAGGGATTGAGAAAGGCTTCTCAGGGGCATCTAAGTTAGGCCCCAAAGTTGACTAGTTCTCCAACTGAGAAAGATGAGAATAGCATTTGAGGCAATGAGCATAATACGCAAAAGTCCAGAGATAAGAAACTGCCTTGGGCCTGCAGCAGACTACAAGCAGTTACTAGAGGGGAGGAGAGTTTACTAAAGAGGTTAGCAAGGACCAGTTCTCAGAGGTCTTGAGTCCCAAGCTAAGGGGTGGAACTCCGGTGAAAGCTTAGCTCAGGGGAGAGAATAGTTGGGAATTGGGTTTCAGCAAGTTCTCTCCAGGAGCTGACTCCACACCCCATCTCCAAGTTGTGAGCCTTCCCTGGGGAACGCTGGTGCTCAACACATGACCAACACATCAGCCCCTAAACAGCCCTAGGTTTCAAGTCATTAGTATTCCTTCTTAACAGAGGAGGCTACTGAGGCTCAGCGAAGGCATAAGCCAACTTGCCCAGGGTCACACAGAGGCCAACGCAGGATTGGAATTTCGGTCTCTGAGTCTCCTGAGGGCTTTAGTGGACCCTGTCTGCTCAAAGAATCTCCTTCCTCATCACTCCCAAGCACTGATGAGACTTTATTGGGCCCCATTCTGGCTTTCAAAAGTGCCCCATTATTCCAGCCTAGATTCAAACAAAGGGACATCTCAGGCTGTCAGTACAGAAAAGCTAAGGACGCCAGCTCGGGGTTACAGGAATAACTGCCACCAGCCCCAGGGACTCAAATTGGCTGTCCAGGCAGCATGATCTTGTCTAGTCCTTAGTCTTGGCTCCAGGAGGACCCCAAACCTGCAGAGCAGCCTAGCTGGAGGGGGAGCATGGCCAGAACCTGTCAAATTAGAAGTCCTGGTCAGAGGCTTAACAGTCCTTCCAGTTCACAGCCCCAGCCCTCCGTGGCCCTACTCCCCCAAATTTACCGGCGCCTGGGCGGGTCATCAGGTGCTCCTCGAAAAAGAGGACACCGTGGGCCTCTGGCCCGGTCCACGCACCCCACATGGCACACACAAACAAATCCTACGGGTCCAGCTACTCAACCTGCAGAGGCGCATGCACTTACCCACTGGCCCCCACTTTCCCAAGTCCACAGGCGGTCACCGGGGTATCCGGCCACAGAGCCGGAGATCGACATTGCAGTGGAGACAAACTTCCAGCCCCGGCCCACCCGCAGGCTCGCGCCGCTCTGGACAGCCGGACGCGCCCGCTCTCCGTGGGCCTGGCCCGGGTCCGGTGCCCCGGCCGCGCCCCCGCCGACCTCTCCCAGCCCCGCCGCGCTCCGGAGCCAGAACTCACCTCCCCGGCGTCCTCTGCCCGTGGCACCGCGGCCGCTGTCCTGCGCGCCGGCGCCCACGTGCCCCGGAGTCCCGCCCGCCCCGCCTCGGTCCCCACCCCGGCAGGGGCAGGCCCGGAGCAGGGCGGACTCTGGACAGACCCTGGCACCGCCACCCACCCCCGCCCGGACGGACGCGCGGCGCCCGGAGAGTCTCGGGTTCAGCGCCCCGCTGCGGGGCTGCGCCGGGCTGGTGGGTGGAGACGCTCTCGCCGCGGGTTGGACGCCCGCCGCCCGCCTCCCTCACGCGCGGCGAGGAGTGGTTTTCAAGTTTTGCAAAGTTTGCCTGGTGCCTGGGTGACTCCTGTCGCAGGACCTTTCCGGGAACCTGCACCCCTTTCTCGGGCAGCTGCGCAGGGCACCGGCTGAGATGCCCCAGGAGACCAGGTTGGGGCAGGGTTCGCGCTCGGGAGGGAGCCGGCCTCAGGCTCTCTTTGCTTAATGCCCAGAACGCCCGGCTCTTTTTGGCCCCTCACCTTGAGTGGCTGCCCTGGAGCCGCCTTCTCAGACTTCTCCAGCCAAGCGCGTCGCTCCTTTCTCTGCCCTCAGCCCCACTCTGCTGGCCTTCTGTGATCAGGGACCCCACGTCCGTCCCTTTTCCAGACTATGAGCTCAGGGAAGCAGGGACCAGGTCTGCCTTCCTACTGCAGCTTCGGAGTTACCAGGAGCTGCAGTTCTGGAGGGGACGGTGGTGGGGATACCGGCACTTACCCAGTGTGTGAATTGATGGATAAATGAATGTCCGCCCCTCTCTCATTCCGACCCAACCAAGGGTAGGGTCTGGTGCAGCTTTAGCACTGACTCAGGGAGAACTTGACCCAGCTGCAGTCCCTCTCCAGGCCTCTTTTTCTGGGAAATGCAGGCCGTCACACTCATCCTCCCACTAGCCAGTGTCCATCCATGTCTGCAGCTGGACAAATGCAGGAGAGGCCTCTTTCTGTGGCCAAGAAACTTGCCCATGGCCCCAGAAACTTGGGTCCTCCTCGGCTTCCCATCAGCTGACTGGGACCTGACTGGCGCCCAAGAAGGCCCAGGAAGGGTGCTGGCTGCAGCCTTGTCAGGAGCAGGAACAGAATGGACACAACCTTTCATGACAAGGCTGCCTCTGCAGTCCCCCAGGGACTTCCACAAATGAGATACAAAGGTCCCTTGTCCAGCCTCCTCCACCTACTGTCCATGTAGTTTCTAGGGGGCTAGAGATCCTTGTGGCCCCAATTGAAGGAAACTAGGCCTTGGGATATCAGTAAGGGGAAGTCCCCGAGACCCTGAAAGCCCCAGCTAACTCCTCCCATCTCCTCTTCCCTCCAAATCTTCAGACTCTACTGTAACTGCTGTTTAGACCCAGACAAAAAATTCCTTTGCTGTCAAGATGTGGACTCAAGGCCCTGCCTTCAACCTCCACCTGATGGCTTCAATCCAACTCCCTCGCTTTACAGTAAGGTACCAAAGCAAATGCATCCCTGAGACACAGAGTGTCTGAGCTACGACAAGAGCTGACTTGGTGGTAGGCCTGAGCATCAGAGAAAGAGGACTTGTCCTTGAACTCCACAGTGGAGAGCGATAGTAATTTTCATAAACTGTGGGTTCAGGTTCTATTTTTGCTTCACTGCTTCTCTCTGCCTCAGTTTCCTTCTCTGCAAAATGGTAATAATAATCTCTTTCTCACTGGCCTGAGATTCTTTTTTCAGGGCTTGCCCACTGTCCCAACTAACATCGTCACAGAATTAGTGTCACCTCTAATGAGGGGCTAGAAGTCTAGGTCTCCTGACAACTTCTTCTGACACTCTTTTTTTTGGGGGGGGGCAAAAGAACTGGAGTGCAGACCAGAGATTTGGGGTGGGGGAGGGGGGAGCAGAACAGGCAGATCTACTGAAATACACTGCTGAGGGGAGCAGCAGGAGGGCGAGGCAGGAGAGGTCTGCTGCACCATGTGGGTTAGCTCCCTGGCTGGCATTGAACTCAGGCCATAGTGGTGACAGTGCTAAGACTTAATCCCTAGACCACCAGGGATGCCACTCTCCTGACGCTCTCGTTATTGGCATCTAGAGATCAAGTCAGCTAGTTCCAAATCCCCCAGCTGAGTCCCTCCTACTTTGGACTGCCTGAGGAACCACATCCCACTTCAACCTGAGCTCCTTTGCTTTTACCTTTGTAGTTATTCCCATTTCCTGGCAAGAAGTTGTTGAAAGAATATAGACGCTTCCACAGCTAAAAGATCTTAGAACTGTTGACTCAGCCAGGAATTGAAGCTCAGTGAGTCCCACAGCAAACCCTATACAAGGCCGCATCTGGAAGATGGACTAGCATTGAGGGAGTCTCTTTGCAACCAAGCAGCCAAGGCAGGCTAGTGGTAATGGCCCCCAGGAGGAGGGTTAATGGAGCCATGGGAGGGGGGAACCTCCTCTATTAGCAGCAGGTCAGGATGGGGTTCCATTAGAGGCAGGTCAGGGTGGGGGACGGGCCAGCCCAGGAGTCTGTCTCCTCATGCATTAGGAGGCTTCCTGTCTCTCCAACCCCGAGGAGGCACTTGGCTCCCTTCAAGCCTTCTCATTTCCCCTTTCTCAACTTTTCCCATCTCCTCTGAGAAAACTGCTCTGAAAATTGGTGCTGGGGTTAAAACCCTTTCTCATTTCCCCTTTCTCAACTTTTCCCATCTCCTCTGAGAAAACTCCTCTGAACCCCTCCCCTGGCTCAATTCTCCTCATTTAGCCAGAACATGAAAATTTCATGTCCTCTTTCTCAGGTTAGGGCCATATCTCTATCACTCCTCCTAGTCATCACTTGCCTCACATCCTCTGGTAGCCCCACCACTCTCAAAACAAAGCACGCTTCTGCAGCATGCTGCTCTGCATCCTCCCAGCTACCCACCTCACCTCCTGCCTGAGATCCAGCCATGTAGCAGTGCCAGGCCCTTGCTCACCTCCCACTCTGCACTTGTGGCTCCCACTGTCTGCAGTGTCCCTCATCCTTCTCTGCCCATGGCCCCCTCTCCTGGTTCCCCACTATCACATCTCTAAGCCCCAGCCCAGGAGGCCCATAAGATACTTCCCCTAGTCACACTTCTTACCATATTGCTGTCACTGTTGATGATGTCTGGCTCTTCCTCAAAGGTCATCTCTTTGAGGGCAGGGCCAGAGTCTCTCCTGTTCCATTAAATGTCTCTCCTGGTCCACTAAATGTCTGGCACCTAACACTGTCCCTGTCACCTGGTCAGCCACCATGAATATGTTGTGTTAATGAATGAATGTAAACTCTTTTTTTAAAAAGATTTTATTTATTTATGCATACAAGAGCTGGGGTGTAGGCCAGAGGTGCAGGGCTGGGGGTTGGAGGGTGAGAGGATTCGCCAGAGACGGAGTGGGGAGCAGAACAGGCAGATCCACTGAAATATACTGCTGAGGGGAGAAGCGGGCAAGAAAGGAGAGGTCTGCTGCACCATGTGGGTTATCTTCCTTGCTGGCCAGGGATCGAACTTGTGCTGCAATGGCTACTAATAGCTTCATTGTGCTGAGACTTAACCCCTTGCACCACCAGGGAGGCTCAGTGAATGTAAACTCTTTAGTGATCACCTTCTTTGGTCTAATCATAGTGTTAAAGTATCTCATTTAATCACCTGAACCCTGTAAGATAGGTGTTATTTTACATAGAGGGAAACGGAGGTTCAAAGAGGGAAAGTGAATATCCCACATCATGCAAGGAGTCTCCAATGGGCTGCTGGCTCTGGAACTGCTACCTGCTGGGAAGGAAGGCCCTGGGACCCACACTGGTGGCTCCGGTTACACTGGGCTGGATTGGCTCCAGGGCCTCATCTTGCTTGCTCTCTGGACTGCTGTGTTGGCCTGAGTGGTCCTCATTCCTACAACAGAACTGTCTCCTCAGGTTTCCCAAGCAGGAGCCAGGCCTCTGCCAAATGCGGCCTAGGAGCTCTGATTGACTCCCAGCATGCCAGGACACAGGTGCCCAGGGGGTGATGCAGGCCTGGACAAGCCTTTGCTCTACCTCCCCATAAGCAGGACCATCTAGCTCACTTGTGGGACCCAGAAAAAAATAGATATGTGAGCCCCTTGTTCAAAAACTCATAAAAATTTCACGGCGGCATAGCCGAGCTTTTAATCAAGTGCCCTTTGAAACATAGAGCTCTATGTCGCTGTACAGGTCACATGCCCATGAAGTCAGCTTTGTCCTCAGGCCTTGGTTTTCTCATCTGCCAAATGGGAGAAAGACAGCCATGTGGCCAGGGGGTGAGGGTGAGATGATAGATGAAAATACAAGGTACAGTAAATAGCATAAGGATTGAGTGGGGGGTCCCTACGGACCTGCCACTCCTCCACCCCTCCACAATCAGGGAGGGGCTGGGAGGCAGCTCCTGGCACCTCCCCAGTCACCTGCCAGGCATTTGGTTCTTCATATATCTCCTTTCCATAGACCCAAAAACTATGCTCAGAGAAGCAAAATGAGTCATGCGAAGACTCAATGGGGGAAACAAAAATTCTGGGCTTGTCTCCCTGCAAAATTGGTGCTTTTCTTTTTTCAACACGAGCAAGAGAGAGAGAAGAAAAGGGCAAGAGGGAGGTGGGGTTGCTGCTCAGGACAAAGAGGGCCACTGTGCAGACACAAAGACCTGACCACAGAGGCCCCTGCGGGGGCTGGGCCAAATGGGTGGATAGAAAGATCCCATGGTGACTGGGGAGGTGCCAGGAGCTGCCTCCCAGCCCCTCCCTGATTGTGGTGGGGTGGAGTGGCACGTAGGAGCCAGGAAATGGGTCAAGAAGGAGAATCAGA